GAGAGCTATTATTTAAATGAGATCTCGCTACTTCCAAACAGTGTCGAGTCGCTGGTACATCGTTCGATCCGGTGGCACATAGTCCGATTCGCTGGTGCAATGCTCGTATCCCGCGATTCGCTAGCGAATCAATCGGTGGATTCGCAAAGACTGGCATCGGCCTGTACTGAGTGGCGAGAAATTACGTGCGCGCGACATTTCCCTAGTTTCAAATAATGAGGAATTCATATGAGCTTTTTCTTGTCATCCTGCTAGGTTTGCTAGTTATCAGTTTGCAGAAGCAAAAGATTGTTTTCCAATTTTTATGCGAGCTAAACGATCTTTTCGAGACACACAGTTTTTCTATGAACCGTCCAAAAAATTGAAAGTTTGGAAGTGGTCTGTCAACATCTGAAGTGTGAGAAGAGATAAGAAGAATAATAAATGACCAAAAACATGACCTTAGCTTGAATAAGAGTATTCCCGAAAATTCGTCCAGATAACTGCAAAAATAAAGCGCAGAGCAAAAATAAAGCGCAAGCAAGATCGGAAGGAAAGTACAAGAAGTTGCTGGATTTTTTCGAGGCGGGGCAGTCTTAGGGCGAAAGCTTGACCGCTGCTGTATGTCGCTTCGGTAATTTACGACCACAATAATGGGTATTGCAAAATTGCTCTCCCACTAATATGGCCGGTGTCAGACTTGGCAAGTCCATGATTCGCTAAATGAATCGCAGGATTTGTTTTGCATTTGCAGTCTGATACCGGCCTATTGGCTATTTCCAATTCACTGAGAACGTTTCTCCTCGATGTTTTCTCTCGCTTTTTGCGTTCGCATCTGTCGAGGTGTTCTCCCAAAGAAATCTGACGTCGTTCTAGGAGCTTCCCAACGATGAATGTGAGTGCTGTCGGACCGCAAATGCGGGCCTTTACTTGTCGACTGCGACAGTTCTCCACCCAGCCACAAATCACTCATCCGTCGGTAGTATTTGTGAAGGATGTTCAAGGTATACAAAGTTTCTGCATGCTGTTTTTATAAATCTGCGATTGACACGTGGTGTGCTGCGCATCGTTAAATAAGTCGTTATTTCTGAATTTTGAATGCCATTTCCTCTTTCAGCTCGTCAGAACTCCCTTCTTGGGCCAGATAAGCAGTTTCCTTTGAATGGAGATACGTGTCCTAAGATTCTGATTCAGGAACAGCCGTTTGTGCAGGTTAGTTGTTCATCTAGGGTGGGGTTTTCCGTTGGCAAGCACGGATTACTATTACATGCCTTTGTTATGAATTAAAGCCACGAATCAAGATTAGGAAACCAGCAGAATTTCTTCCCAGGGTGCGATAGTGAGCTCCCCAAGCAGTGAGGGCGCGACACTATCGCGACCCAAAAGTGCGCGGCAATGGCGCTAAGGCCTTGCCCGTCCGCGCTGCCTGCGCTGCCAGCGTAATCCAACACGGCATACGTGGTCTCTGCGTCCTCTCGCGTACGACGTACTATCTCGCGTTCTCCCTCTCCTCGCAGCGCTGTGTCTCTCCGTCGTACTACGGCCGGCCTCCTAAGGGAAATTTAGTGTTTTCTATGGTGCTTTTTGCTTTTTCTCCTCACTAATGTTCCTCATTGCACCCCTTGCCTAATGTTTGAACAAAATAACGCATCAATTCAATCCCGACTCGTGCCTTTAAGTTTGGACTCGCATAGTTCAACCAAGCATGTAGCTTATTGTCAACACTGGCACTAAGACAACTCTAGCTATCCACTCGTAGAACTCGTCCAAACCCCGCCCTTTTCCTTACTGAAGTGAAATTCTGCTGAAGGAGAGGGGTTTAGGGTGTAACCGAGCGTTTCTTTTGATTTCTTTCTCGTTTTCAGATCACTACAGGCCCTCAACTTTTTAACTGAACCGCTACCCCTATCTATCCCCGTTTATCCCGACGTTTGCCTTTAAGCGTTGACAGAAAGTAGCTCAAACTGCATCGCTGACATAGTAACGCTGGCTTTGTTCGTATAATCTCTTGAAATGATGATGCGGAAACCTTCCAACTGCATTATTTGAGAGACCTTAGTCAACCATCACTTTTCATTGCATGGTCAAGTCGTATTCAAATGTCACTGCATTTTTATAGATGCCTGGCGCATCCCAAAAATGATTAATCAAGTTTGAGCACTTTTTCTTCATTATCTGTGCTTCGCATCTCTCTCAAAAAAAAAAAGCGAAACTTCCCACTCCTTCGACAAAGCCCCTGATCGATGTCTCGTAGCATGGTATTGAACGATATAATGTCGCTCTGTATCCGTTTATTTGTCGGATGAGGAGTAAGCGTATTATGCGACCTCATTGCATGAGAACTCTGCACCGCCTGGCCTCGATAATGGTTGTGCCTCTGCGAGCAGGGACAACGTGAAAGGTTAGGTGCAGTAGGTCGCGTATGTTTGCCTCGACCCATGCCCTAAATTTGGGAATTGCCCTGACAAGTCGCATATGCGCTCCAGTGGTTTGGTTTTTTCTTTCGGTAACTTGATCATTATCTGGTTTCTCTACAAATCGTGTGTTAATTTTTCAACGTTGCTTGCAAAAGCGATTACTACATAATTCGTACTGTTAGAATGGAAAGAAATCGAAAAATAGGTACAAGCTGCATATTCTCCGTTATAATTAAGTACTTTGTTATCATATTTGTGGCGCACACTGTAGAATGTCTCAGAACTGCTGACGCTTTGAATATTTGTTGCTGGTGCTTTCGATTTTACATAGCTGTGATTTTTCTTTTTCTTGGTAGTCACTGCCATTTTTTTTTTTTGATAATTTTATTTCGCGTTCTTTTTCAATATGTGAGCACCCCATAGAAAGACATGGCAGGGAGTAAGGGCGAGTACCTATACATCTATCGTAACGACCTTTTGCTCTCGTTTGGAAACTACCATTCGTCCACTCTTTCTGATTCTTGTCTGAAACGTTATATCAAGTCAAAGAATTTCTTGTTGAGGGTTTATAAAAGTTTCTTTAACATGCTATTATATACACATAGTTTGATTGAGAGCTCTCTGTTTAGCGCTCGGCACCGCCATCACTACAATGATTCAAAAAATACTCGCAGCTGTCGAATGATTTGCTGTCGAACCCTCCACGATTGACGGCCCCGAATGAAAAAATTAATGCGTCCAAAATCCAGGAATCGCTTATTGAACGAGTAAATGAATGAATTGAGTCAATGAAGGTGATGATTAACATAAGCCTGAATAATCAGAACTCAACATTCCAAGATCTTGTAGTAGTTTATGTATGATACACGGATTTTTCACCCCAATACCCAATGCCGTAGGTTTTACTCGCAGGCTAACGCTCCCATATCCTAGTTATCAATCGTGTTGATTCCGTTTGAAAACACTTGGACCCGTAACCTGTTAAAGTTACTTTATTTTGTTCTGAATCAGTGTCACCAACTAATGTTGCTATAGAACATTTTAACACATTGACGACAACGCGGGGGATATATATCCCGCGCATTGCAGGCCATGTCGGACCGTGCGGGATATATATCCCCCGCACCCATTACACTCATTTTTTTCGCGCACGCCTGATTCTTTTAGAAGTTTCTTGTATTCATTCCATGGAAGAGACCTTGACGTAGCTACAAACATAGTGGCCCTTAGAATGGTCACGTATACTTTAATTTAGAGGAGGATTTCTGAACCATACGAAATCTTCATTTCAATAAATTTTTCGTTTACTTTTTCTTTTTATTAATGTGAAGATTTAAATAGTAGTAGAAGTAGATAAGGAACCTTAGGGATGACAATATGTGTGTTTTGATTGGAATAATCAACGTAAAATTGCTTTTGAGATCCATTGCAGCTAGTTCTGACCAATTTCGCTTTTTCATGTTTTTCCATGTCTTTCGATCGAAATTCCACTACTGTACCCCTGGTTAGGTTGCGCTCATTACAATTTACTGATTTGGTTTTGAATTGATCATTAGTTGTGTTTATCACTCAAAATCTGCTTGAACGACCTGAGGCGAGCGCGCCCGCAAAATCGCCGCGGTCCCACGTGGCCAAAAAAGCCAAAACTCGCGTTGTCGTCAATGTGTTAATACCATTATAGATTACCAGGTTTAAACGCATGGTCTTTGTCCCTTTCGCTGTTGCACAATGATTATGGGAGTGCATTGTGTTCAAGGTTGAAATGCGCTATGTTACGCAAGAGGCAATTCTACCCGTTCGAAACCTTGAATTTCTCCAACTTCATCTAGTCTCCCATATTCCATTCATTTTTTCACAATGATTTTCTCAAATATGAATGTAACTTCAAATTCATAAGTCAGATAAGAAAGAAGAAGCAATAAATTCAAAAGCTTTCTTGCAGAAGGGTTTTCTGACAACAGTTCGTTGAGTTTTGTTTACCTTTTTGAAGCCTGCTTGAATGGTCTTCTAACATGCTTGTAAAATGTACTTATTAAAATTCCAGGCGCAAGCAAATGCTGGTGATTGGCCCGTTGAGCTTACTGTGCAAGAGTGCCCAAGACTTTTGAAGAAAGGTGTGTGATAGGTTTTGTCGCTTTTGTAATATGTTCTGTGCCTAAATTTTTTACTTCTCGTACATTCTTTGTGCCTTGTTCTTTTTTTTTGTTTTAACTTTGTTCGATTTCGGCATTCTCCAAGCTCATGTCAGTATGTTCTTTATGTCACCTTTTGAACTTCACCCTAGTTTTTGGTTGATTCCCTTCGTCTTATCAAGTAGTCTCTTGTTACACTATTACTCACCCTCTTCATCACTGTCTGGTTTCCTTCTTCAAAACACTTATTAATTAGGGTATTTATGTAGGTAAATGATTTTTTCTCACTTTCTTTTTTCCCCACTACCGAAGAAACGTGCCTCAAAAGCATGCTTTCAGATATGAAACATCTCTTCCCCGGAATGCATTTCGATAATGTCAATGTCAGTGTGATCAACATTACTCAAAAAACTGAACATGATATGAAGGCATGGAGTGAAGAAATGGAGCAGGAGCGTGAGATGCTCACGGCTTCGGTTTGTTTACAATCTCATTTTGTTTTTCCGTCGAAATATCTCCTATTCGTTTTGAGAATTGAGGATTAGAGGATTACGGGGTTCATGTTGGGTTCCTGTAATCAGCCTTGTTGTGTGTTGTACTATATTATCACATCTGTTTAGTTCATCTCTTCTGCAACTGCAATCTGTACGACTCTACGTCGCTGCGGATACCTGGGCTGACTTCATAGACCCTTCTTCTGGTAGACCATATCTAGGTAAGTTATTGTTCGTATAACCCAAACCTTTTTTGACCGTGGCTTCTTTGTTTTTGACTTTGATTCCAATAAGTTTCTTTGAAGGTATTTTCGGCTTTACTACTTTTTACGTTTACAGGGAAAGTTCACCAATCACACTCTTTTCGAAACAGATGATGCTTACAAACAAATGGGCTTCCGCATCGAGGATCTAGGTTGCTGTAAGGTTCGTGTTGTTGATAAATTACCAACGAGCTTACTTTCATATATGGTGTAAATCTAGCTCAGGAGGGGGGGGCACTTGATTGATGTTTCCATATCTATGGATTAAATGAGAGCGCTAATGACACGTGAAATCGTCTCGTTCAATATCCTTCTGATCAAGTAATGCGTAGTGTGAAAAGTAATTTGGGTGCTCCACAATTTCCTTGGCCTACAATAGTCCAAGGAAATTGTCCTGAATCAGGTTAATGGAGATCGACCCTGACTTTAGGCTGGAGTAGCTCCAGGGTGAATGATTCGGTGCAAAATTTGGATTGGATTTGGGATGGATGTGTGGAATTTAGAGCATCTACCGTTCTTTATCTGAAGTGGAACCTACTTCTAGTTGTAATCGTTCACTCGCAACACATGCTTTAGGAAGTCATGGCTTATGCGTTTTCCGGCATAGGCAGTCGTGGTTTTCGACCTGAACTCGATATACATGTGTTCTATAATCGTAAGGGCGCAGTTCAGTTCATTCCGGATTCCTCCCACTACGGCCAGGTCATCAGAAGCTGCGCGATCATTGAAGCTTCACGTTTAGTTTACGACGGGTTCCGGCTTAAAGGCAAAGGTCGGGCTCAGACACGCTAGAGAAGTAATTCCCGTGCCTGGAGGTTGTATGTGGGTAGCTGCACACATTGCAGCAACTTTCCACCTTGAAAAACGTCGTTAAGCCCCCGGGGCCGTCGGTTTCAATCCGGGACCGCCTCGTCAATCCGGGACCGCCCACCTCCGGAAGTGGTGCGTGGCTGGCATAACGTGTGAAATCAGCTAGGTTGATTGCCGTATCAACCGATAGAACGACTGACATCTCCAGAAAACTTGTTTGTACGTGCCTCTTTCCCAAGCCAGCCTCCTTCACTGCTAGTGGGAAAGAGGGTTTTGTTAACGGCCTTGTCGACGGTTTTTCTCAGTTTTTTCTCCACTGTCGTTCCACTTCGCATCTCTATACTCAGTTTCAATCGCCATAATACCCCCTTATTGAGCCCGACTTTTGCCTTTAAGCATGCTTACAACATGTTAGCTTAAATCTTGAGTGCATGCCTTTGCTTGCTACCGCGAAAATGTGCTGACTCCGACTGAAGAGAGCTGCAGTACACTTCTCGAAAAACTCCGTGTGTCCCACTTGCAAGTTGTTTTGACAAACATCTTCTTTAGGTCCTTCAACATGTTGTGTGGGGTACAAATGCGTTTGTTGGAACGCTCTTCACTGATGCTCCACCGGACTGCACCATTGTCAAGGATATCGTGCGCAAGGTAAACACGGATGAAGCTGTTGTGAATCAGCAGAAGTAAATTAGTGTTCTTATAACAAAGCTGGTAGCCTGTCAGCCCCTTCATTACTTTTTATCTTTCCATGGTGTGTTGAATTGATTCTCCTGACGAGTTTACCTGATTAATCTAGGAACGATTCTGATTGATTGATCTGCTCGGAATCATATGTGTCTTAATTCTCAAGTGAAATAGAATTGTTCCTTATAATGAGGTAACATTCTCAAGGTTCCTTCCTACTCTCCCATCGATTCTTTTCGTAGTCCCGGTTTGAATGATGTTATAGGTATATAGTTTATGTGGAATCGAGTATGCTGCTGTTTTGTAGAGCGCAAAAAATTGCCGTGTACAAAATTCTTAGAGAACTAATAAAACATTTTATGGGTTGTTGGGCTGTAAACAATCTTGATTATCTTCGAAAATCTTCAGTTTCGTGATCCGTATCAAAATACAATCTTGCTGCGGTCGAATTTTGAATTGCTTGGGTGTTGTGTAATTTCTGGATAAAATCTACTGATGAAGCACGCCAATATTTATTCAACAGATTCTCGACCTTCGTTAGTTCAGTAAACGATGTGGATGTCATTTTGTGAAAATTATGAAATATTGGATGAGGCTGGCTTTAATTACTTGATTTCGCGATAGATTTGAATACAAACAGAAACTTTTCGATGAACTAGTAAATGCCTCTTGCACACGAATGCGAATGTATTGGTGCGAAATGGGCTAGCATTTAATTCCTTTTTCTTGAAAGGAGGAGATTTCAACGAAAACGCTTTGGTTAAGAGCTCAGTCACCTTCCTAATCGACTGTGCTGGAGGAATGTGAGAGTCTCCGCTATCTATTCAGTCGCCACATTTAGACCTGCGACGAGTGATTAGATAGTCGGTGGGCGTACCC